GAGAGTACAAACAAATGTACTTCGTCATACAAAATTATTTAGAAAAAAAATCACTTTTATAGATTTATCGGGTGTGTCAAAAGTCGCGGAAGACCGCAAACATTCAACTTTGGGGACACTCAAAGAACGTTGGAAAATTTTTATTTTTTACCGTAGGTTCTTCGTGTAGTTGTTAGAGCTATTGGAAGTTCCCTGGAACAAACTTTAATATCTAAATATTCGGTTTTTTGATTTCAGTCATAGTTTTCTTTTTGACCTGCAACTGTATTGCCAACAAGTATCCAATAAGACATAACATAAAAGTATCACAGATTCCGTTCCCTCTAGTGTTGAATTTGGCCGAGTACTGTAAGTTGAAAATCTGGCACTATGCAAATCTTACCATATCATAGCAACTGAAAAAATAGTTTTCAAAATTACACTTTCAGATGTGATATTATCATAATTTTTCGAACCGCTTACACAAGATGTTTCGAGCGAATTTCTAAAATTTATTTTATCGATTATGTCAGAAATCGTCCAGAACTTTCGTGAAGTTCTGGAACACAGTAGTACCATTTAATAAGTGTTGCCTCCTCTGCGTCAAAGTGAATATAACGTGGGATCAACAGCGTCTTCAAGTTGGCGCTGGAAAATTGAGCTGTCTTGGTTGTCGTCTGGTTGTGAGTTCGTTCGGTGACAACTTGAGTACAAAATTTGATAATTGCATGTTATTTCTTACTAACCAAATGAAAAAAAATCAAGTTTTCATAAAGTTCACATTTTAATAAAAAAATAATTTTATATACATAATTAAAAATAATTACTTATAACTAATTTTTCTGCACAAATAATTTTTTATTATGTATTTCTTGCAATGGGTTCAATTAAGGTATGTTTGGACCAGGTATATTGGCACAGTTAGAAAACCTCACCTCCGGTCCAGGTCGCGCGTTCACTAATCCAACACCAACTCCCGTCCGCGGTCATATTCGTTCTTTGGACATGCATTACCTTCGATCCGCCCAATATCTATCGTTCTCTAATTACGTTTATTTAGTGCGGGAACATATTGAATTCATTTTGGATTAGGAAGCGAAATACCTTGAAAATTATTTTAATAATTGTTCATTTAAACAATATTAGCATTCATCCAGTTACAAAATGTGCTATATTTATATGAGACACGCCTACTTTCTGACTTATTTAGTTTCATGGTTGTTTCTATTTGCATGGATTTTAAAATTAGAATTTAAAAAGAGAGTGAGGGATTAAGGTACTTCAGGTACCCGCCAAAGAGATATGACCTTGGACTGGAGTTGATGTTCGCCCAGACACTGTGGTTGTGCCTTCAAAACAAAGTAAACAATTTTCACCGAGCGGTTGCAAGAATTTTTCAAAAAAAGAAGTTTTGATAACATTGAGTACCTTAGACCATTGTGAACACATACCATGGGTTAGATCCTGAATATGTCTAGTTTTTGTTGTTTGTAAAGTGAATTTATTTTCTTTACTTATAAACAAATCGTATTTTAATGACTTTTAAAGCTGTTGGAGGAGAGGTGCGCATCACATTTATTCGGTACCAAAATTCGAGAGTTTTAGGGCAAGGACATTAAATATTATAGCTCCCTTGTACTATATAAACCTCCTTGGCACCCCTTCGATTAAAATAATAATAATTTCATTAATAAGGTTAGTTCTTAAACCATTACTCACGAAGTTACTTTCACTAATATTTTTGTTGAAGCCACTGTAGTGACTGTAGAAATCAATCTTAATAATACATTTTATTATACTTAGCTGTTGTTTATTATATTTAACTGTTTGCTTAAAGAATAAAGTGGGGGCTTAAAAATCTCGAAAAGAACACACCGCCAAACAAACAAAAAAACTGAACTGTAGCTCAAACACACCCCTGTATGAATGAACCCAGCATGTACTTATCCATCTTTAAAAAGAAAAATCGATTTTTCCAACAGGTTGTTATTTTTCATAAAATTCCTTTTCGGCCCATTAAAAATGCATGAAATCCTCAATCAAGTTCAGGATAGCAACAGGCATTCGTCCCGAATTAACCGGACCGCAGTCCAGTTTTTCACTTGTGTCAATTATTTTTTCAAACACACGCATTTGTAATGTTTGCTGTGTGTGATTCGATTTGATAACGCACATCACATGCACATCAAATCGCGCATACAGCGCTGGAAATAACGGATAACAATGGGATAAAGTCGAAATTTATTCTACCAGAAAACTATCTACGGCAAACACCATTACAATGCCGATGTACCACACGATTTTTGCTCGTTTGCTTGTTATGAATTTCAAACAGATTAAGCGATCATTAAAACGCCATAAATCGCTGAATACTGTTCTTTTCAACACGTGTTTCTGGTAAGATGGCCGAAATGCTTAGCGCGGGGAGCCAGGTAAATACAGATAACGGCTTAATTATTATGAGAGTTGTTCGGCTTTACCAGAAATGGAAAGGGTCATTTCGCAGGTGCCTGTTTGGCGTGACCCATAATGGCAAGAGGCCCCTTCGTCGTTGCTTGGCGATAGATAATAATCGTCGTTTTCACTCGGAAACAGCAGAAAACATTTTTGATAACGAAGGACGTTGTGCTGATAACGGCTAAACGATGATAACAAATATCAAAATAAAATTGTGGAGGATAAAAGTGTAGCGCTGCGGTTATTCTTGTCGTGCTTAAATAAAATTAGAACCGAGAGGTGTAGAATACACCACCTGTAGAAAAGGCACGTGAAAATTTCGTGGCACGTGGAAAGCGTTTTGAGTTACTTATGACTTGCTTAATCTTCTTACTATCTTTAGTAGACTCTGATTAAAGCGTAGTGGTAAGTTTTTTTCGCTCATGCGATGAATTAAAATGATTTTCGAAAAATTTTGACAAAAATTTCATAATGAACTCTAAATGAGCAAAAATTGCTCCTATGTTGGTAAATAAGTAAATACGATATTTAAGTCAAAATAAACTTTCAGGATGTTTTCGCAAAATTTATGTAGCAAATTTCATACTTAAAACTGTTGACGCTTCGTTTGTGTTTCATAGCAAGTCAATATAATCACTTATACATAACGGAAATCACGTGAAGAAGAATCGATGAGATAGTTTGTAGAATTTCCAGTCGAAAATGTATAGAAATCTTAAAAATTCGATGTCATGATTTTGAAAATTAAACCAAAATACCTCGAAAAAACTACAGGTTTCAAAAATTATCACAGTTATACTCTTATAGCTTGCTGAAGGTATGTAGAAATGTTAGCAAAAGATTTTTCAAATGAATTAAATTTTTTAAATGATTCAAGCTCATGAAAGTACGAATCATTTAAAATTACATTTTATGAAGAAATACTACAATAGGACATCAACTTTTTCGAACATTTATAATAAGTATTTTCAAGCACGATTTTTTTTTTTTGAGTTGGTCTTACAAACTTAATTTTTAAGGTTTTCGCCACAAACTTGACAAACGTGTGATGAGGGTAGCAAAAGTGACAAAAATGGTTTATGTTCATGGAAAATGACTTTTCAAACCTTGATATACAAGTAAATTATAAATGTAATACATAACATCTCATTACAATGCGAGCCGTTATTATTATATTCCCCGCCCATCGACGATAACGTACGCTTGTTTATCTCAATTTAGAATCAATGTGAACACGCCGATAATATTCGATAACCATCGACACGGTTAAATGCTGTCAAAGCTCAACCCCAAAAATGATCGCCCTAAAAAGAAAACAAAAGTATCAGGAATTTATTTCAATAAACACTTTCCCACTTCGCCTGTCGCATCATTATCAGATAACTTTTAAAAAGTTTCGAGATAAATTTCGGCTGTTTCCGCTTACATTATCCTCGCAAAGTTCCGAGAAATACCATCCACACGTTGCGAGTGCCGGTTTCGAATCGCCGGCATCGACGTGACGTCAGAAAGTCGGGGCATCGACGGATAATTATTACCACGATGGACCCACGAACGCCCATCGGTGCTCGCGTTCCAGAAATAGAAACCTCTTTCGACGCGGCAAACCGGAATGTACCGACAAATTTCAAACGTTGAATTTTTGAATGACTTTCTTGAAACTTTTTAATCTTGCCTACAACATTGCGAGATGTAAATTCAAAGAGATTTTTTTTCGACATTGATTATTTAAATGTTTAAATAATATGTTACTAATACAACAAACCTAAGTATATCTCGTGATCTAATTCAGTATTCAAGCGCAGACTTCATTCAAAACGCAGTACATACGTATTTTATTTTAACGCAGTAGGTATATCTTATTTAATTTAAACAACCCAAAATCTTAAATGGCCATTTGTACTTTAATCCCAAGGATCTTTCTAAGAAACTTCATAAATTGTATGTTTATAATGTTAATTCCTCATTATCATGGAATTAGTAAACCAACCGACCAGCTCAGTACGTAATCAAGACCAATGCTCATGAAAAATTTTCTGCGGAAATTACCGTCAAATTTCAGATTTTTGTAAAAAATGTAATTTTTCAACCGTTGATTGAGCCTCTGTCGCAGGGAACTGTTGTTTAGCGCGTAATTACGCGCAACTTTCATGCGAATTCGCCGAATTCTGTTGGCGTTAATTAGGGTGGGTGAAGATTTCCGCGGGAAACGAAAGGTGTCTTTCAGTGATTTTTTGCGACGCGGTGTTTCGGCTTCGCACGCAGGCAACCATCAGGCACTCGATCGCGTCCCCGCGCTTGTTTATTTTTCTAGTCGTCGGGTCCGTGACGTGGGGGGGGTCCTTTGTGCCGGCGGCCCCATCAGCTGTTCTCGCACGTGATTCTTCAACCGGTCCGTTGCGAATCTCGTGTCTGTTGGGCTGCGTGAACGCGTCTTCGCGCAAGTATTCACCCGTCCCTACCACCGGGGGTGGGAGGGTGTCACGTCAAGCCATCACGCGGGGACCCGCGAGGCCTCCCTGCCGCTGCTGCCCTGCGCTCAGTCCGCGTTCGTCCGTCGCCAGTATTGATCGGTTGGACAAAGGAACTGACCACCGGCTGGCCAACCTCGCAAGAAACTACTACTTGCCACCGGCCGGCCGTCGCGAGCGGATGTCGTCCACGCCACCGCCGAAAACACCGGGTGTTTGAGAAAGAGCGCGCGCCTGCGTCATCACATTCGTCAAAAGTTGCCGCAACTTTCGTCCGCGGAGTTTTTGCCGTCGCCGAGTTTTTTGGAGTTGCGCGTCTGCGCCGCCCCCATTGGCCGCCGGCCGCGTTGCACGCACGTGGGCACGATGGCCTCGACGGGGACGATGGCCACGAAGAACGCCAAGCGCTCGCTGCGGACGATCAGCGCGCACGGGAAGCTGGAGGCCATCCGGAGGGTGCACGACGGCGAGAGCAAGGCCTCGGTGGCGCGGGACATCGGAGTCCCAGAGTCCACGCTACGGGGATGGTGCAAGAACGAGTCCAAGATCTCCTATCTCTCTCGCCAGTCCAGCCCAGACACGGATGAGTCGCTCGAGCCCAAGGACAAGCGCCAGAAAATCGAAGAGCCGATGCAACCCTTCAACCTGAGCCTGCGATCGACGCCCACCGTCTACACCCCCAACTCGGAGTCCTTGTACACCCCCATGGACTACTCGAAGACGGACATGGACAGCACCCCCAAAACCCCCCAGAACCTCAGCATCAAGACAGAGACCCCCAAGTCGACGGCATCGCAAGAGCGGAACCGCGCCGACTTCGAGCGCAACCGCGCCGAATTGACGCGCTTGAGCATCGAGCTGGGGCTCAACCGCTCCGAGAATACCACCGCCAACACCAGCTCCAACACCCTGGCGGACTTCGCCGCCAACTTCAACCTCCTCACCCAATGGAACCTCCTCGTTCAGCAACAACTACAACAACAACAACAACAACAAAAAAAACCATCACCGGACACAACTCCCGCCACCTCCAAACAGTCGGCGGCGAAGCCGCCCAAAGAGCAACAGTCCTCCGAAGACTACATCAAGGGCTGGCTGAAAACCCAGGATATACTCAACCGCACCACACCGGCCAACGGACTCACGACGTCGAACAACAGCAATTCGAGCCTCCAGAACTCCTGGTTCTGGAGCTGGTGCACAAAAGTGGGAAGCAGCGGGGGGCAACAAACCAGCGCTCCTTCTACAAACGAAAAACCCATCCTTTACCAGCAACTGACGAAAGACACCGACGCCGAGAACCTCTCCGTAGACAAATCCTCCAACAAAGTCAAGTCCGTGCTGGACAGCTTCCTCCACAACAACAACAACGTCTCCGCAGAGAAAAAATCGGACTGTCTGTCGTATAGCGAGGCTGTCGAACACGGAGAGAAATTCTTGAAGTGGTTGGAATCGTACAGCAATCCTTCGGTGACCGCGATGCAGATCATGCAGTTCAAGGCGTTGTTGGGTAATGTGAAGAACAGTGTAGAAAGAAAGAATGGTGATCTCCAGAACAAAACCAAAGTCAAAAGAAAGTGATTCGCTTTCGTTTAGTGAAAAAAGGCTGTCTAGCTACCAAATCGTATTAGTTAAAATATTATGTAGTTTATGTAAAAAAAGTCTATGCGGGTGTTAATTCATGGATCCGAGTTTAGTTCCGTGTCCTTTTTTACGCCCGTTCTTCCTTGAATGTTACCTTGAAGAGAAAGTTTATTGACGCTTATGTTTTTTTGTACATACGTTAATTTAGTCGAATTTTAGAGAATTTGTAAAGACTCGACTAGTGCCAAATAATTTCGCATTATTTTTGCTCAAATATGTACCTAACTGTGTGTTTGTTATAGGGCAGTTTCCTATTTGAGATCTCATGTCACCGTTTGCCAAAGTTACTTTTATTTTGCGACGATTTCCTGCAATACATGTCATGATTTGTTCCTTAGAGTTAAGTAATCTTTACTGTTACACAGGGTGTGTACTTTCTTAGTGATAGCCCTGTATCGAATTTCGCTAAATTATGGTGTTATTTGTACATTGTTGTATGATAAATTTATCTGATATTTTTGTACGAAATTAAATAAATTCTTCGACATTGACCGACTCTTTTCACTTCGAACCCAAACAACAATAAATCGAGTAAACAGCCGAATCGATCGAATAAAGAGCACACACACGGTAAGTAAAAAAATGAAAAATGATCCCCGACAAGCAAATTCTGAACGAAATTATTACGTCCCGTTTAACTCGATAATAAAGTTTGAACCTTGCCGAGAGAATAAAAAACAATAAACTCTCTTTATGAATGGGAGATATGAATGGCTCGTAGTAAGCGTAGTAAAACTACAAAACAAATAAAAAGCTCTACTTCATTCCAGCTCTCTTGACTCATTTGAACTTTGCCAGGGTGATTTAGAGGCGTACAAAACGAATTACCAACTTACAAGCGAACTTTGTTTAATTAACCGCTGAGCCTTTTAAATTTATCACCGTTTATCTCTCACCCCGACGAAGGATATTTATTGCCTGTTATATTTTTATTAAAAATGAGCGCCTCAGAATTTCATAATCGGGAGGAGGCGCGCTTAAAATTCCGCTCAATCCGGCTCGATTCGATTCGCAATTAAGAGGTCAAATCGTAAAATTAATTCCGCTTCTTGGGATTCTTTCGGGTTTTGATTTGTGTCGGCGACCAAAAACGATCAACAGTTTCTTATTATAAAGCGGACGTTTTTACGGGTCGCGTTTTTTGCTTAGTCTTTCTCTTTCAATAAAATGACATGCAGACCTGTCACATTTTGATGGTCCGATGTTCGGCATGCCGCCAATAGGAGGATATCGACGAAAGAGTAACAACAAAATTCATCGTAAACCAACGTTCCTGACAGATAAAGATAAATTGAATGAGTTCCAGTTTGTCTTTCTCCTCTTTTTTTGTTTGTTTATTTCTCTTGTTCCCGTTCTTCGTGTTTCGGGGGTAAACAAAATTCAACTGAATTCGTATTTTCAAATTGAGCGTTTTATGGTTGGGTAAAAATTAATTTAGAGGGATGTTTTTGCTAATGGGAGTTTGGTATGTCGCTATTGTGCGTACGAGGAGCCAACTCGGCGATTTTGTGTCCGTGGGAAAGGCCGGTCGATTCTTTTTTATTTCGAAGTAATTAATGAAATGTTTTTTTATCATTTTGTCACAATATATTGTTTGTATTTTTAGCGTTATTGTAATGAACGACTGACTTTATAAAACTCGCACACGTTAACAGATTTCAAAAGCTGATTTTTTGATTAACTTACGAGAAGCATGTTAAAAGCAAATACTATTTAATAATGTAGCAGTCATCTTCTTTTTAAATATCTTCCCTTTAAGCTCCAGATTAAATTAGTTTCCCGACTTAATCATCTAATTTATTATAATTTATACAGTTTACCTACCAGTGACATTTTTCATCCGACACTTCGGTAATCGAGCCACCAAATTTACGACTTTCGAAGTCTTGAGATACAAATTTAAATTTATAATTAGTAATTACATTTAACTAAAACTTTCTTATTGTCTAAACGTAAGGTTAGGTAACAAATTATTATTTTGAGAGAATTTGTCTTAATTTTTCTGGGATTCTATTCGAATAGAGAGATCTCTGATAAAAATAAAGTGTGATTCTGATGACATATTTTAAATAATACGCAGGTTTGCTGACATAGATGTACAGTTTTTTCCGATACGTCAGACGTACCTTTCACATACGTTTTTTTTTTTTATTTAAATTGACACATAGCATGTGGCAACAGTTATTAAACTATTACAATGAGAATTTTTTTCAGTTTTCTTTGCTTCTATTAAAACCAGCTGCACTGATATTTTGCAAATGTTTTGAGGTTACTTTAATCATGCTAAAAGCTAATGGGGATTAATTATTTAGGCAGTTTTTTAAGCATCTGGGCGGTTACGTTGGACAGTTAATAATTTACATGGTCAGTATTAATTTTTTTAGGCAGTAATTAAATAAATGTGACAGTAAACTTGGCCAGTATTATAAAAGAATTTGATTAGTTATTTAATCCTACATGAGCAGTGCAATTATTATTTGAGCGGTAAAATGATTGAATGGGCAGTTAAATAAATAAGTGGGCAGTTTTCAGCGGTCGATAAAAGTTAAATCTTATTTTTTAAAATGTACATGTGTAAACGTGTTGTTGGTCTCTCCATTCGGTTAAAGTACTGTATTCCACCTGCTGAGGCCAAAAATATTCCCCTCGGGCAAAAAAGAAAAAGAGGCAGACCAGGGCTGTTCAGTACTTCAAGTACTTTACTTCAAGTACTTTACTTGAAGTACTTTTATATTTAGGTACTTGGTGCTTGGTACTTGGAGTATTTCTAAAATGTACTTGAGTTTGGTACTTGATTTTGCCAAGTAATTTACTCGAAGTACTTCACTCAGTATTTTAAATACTCTTGAAGTACTTGAAGTATGAAAGTGGAAACTTCAAATACTTTAGTCTCTATTTTACGAAGTTTTCACATCTCAAAATAGGGTCTGTTAAATACTTGAAGTTATTAATTCAATTATTTGATTAGACGTATTTTTATAGGAAAATCGTGTTTATTTCCTGTGAGGTTATATTTTGATCTGTGATTGTGGACATTTTATCCATACGACGTCTATTTCATAGGTACTTGCATAATGCAGATAGGTAGGTAAGAAAATTAATGTCATAAATATGTCATTTGAGAGTGGATGACGACAGCAGAAGGGTCGGAGATCTGTGTAAACTTTTCAGCAATGTAAAGTTGTGAATATATGAATTTTGTCTTTTTTGTATTTTGGTCTGGAACTTAACTTTGCGGGTAGTTTTTCAGTACCTTCCCGGTACCCCAAAGGCGATGGGGTTTGTTGACGTACCTGCTAAAGTGCAAGGTCGGATTTGAAAATATTTGAGACATGATTCAGTACTCGTTCAAAAAGATATTTATTCTTTCATTAGTTTATTAATCCCGCCGTGTATTTGTCAGTAAGAAGCCTGGTCAGGACAGAGAACTCGGCAGGGGATTATCCCTTTTATTACAATAGCAATAGCTGATGGCAGGTATAGACTTTCATACTCGCCTCTTCCTGCTAGAATTTAAACACAATTTTATGTTAAATATTTTGCAGGATAATTTTTTTTATCACGTTAGACACTCGTTTATTACCAAATTCTCTTTTTTTGTTTATACATGGTTCAGCCATATAAACTTAGTTTGCTATTACTACTTATATTTTCTCACATTACAGTTTCAAATAATCTGTTAAATTGAATGTATCATTTGAACATCAAAAATTTAAAAAGACGTAATACAGAAAAACAATGATTTTAAACCCATGATTGTATGGTTTTGATGAGTACCGAATTGTACTTTGATATTGCTCGAGGGACCTTTGTTTTCTTGTGTGCGAAATAATAGACAGCGTTCGGTTTCGATGTTTAAATACAAGACGGTTACAGAAGTACTGAATTTACATTTCTGTTTACAATACCAGGTAAAGAGACCCAAAAGGGTCAGTGGCCGCTTCCGGAAATGAAACAAAATACATATTCACATTATAAAAAAATACAAAGTTAATGAAATTCGCGATTAGTTAGTATAATTGCCTAGATAAATACACCCCTACGAAATATTTTAACAATAATAAATTTAGTACATATTTACCTGAATTTTTGCAAAAGCCGTTGTTAGGCATTCCCTGAAGTCATTGTAGTTAATCATCAGTTACTAATGTCATCTTCTTTGGGTTTTCAGGTAAAAATAAAAAATAAGCCAATCGAAAATGTAAAAAAAAATTCTGGAAAGTATTGTGGCATTAGAGGAACAAAATTTTGTATAAATGGACGGAACAGCCCTACGAACCTATTATTTGTGATTTGTCAGTGTAAAGTTACATACTTAGATAGACAAACATCGTAGTGATTAGTGTTTACTATTTAATTAGTGTAGTATTTAGGTTAATTTAATAGTTTTTAGAATAGTAAATACGTAAGTGGTAGACAGATATATTCAGAAATATGGGGCATTCATTCCAAGAAAATTCTCAGCATTTTTGGTAAACGCAAAAGTAATAAACGACTAATTACTTTGATCACTTTAATATTTTTCAAGAGTTATAGTTTTCGCTGAAAATGGACTCTCGTTTTAGGCATTTTATTTTTTATTTTAAAAATTCATACGTTTTTTTTGAAAATGCAACATAGTGTCTTAAACATTTTTATGTCATGAGCATGTATATGTATCGCACTGCTCTTAAAATTTTGTTTGAAAAATTTCAGTTTCACAAATCCGGCCCTGTGCACTTTCACAATGCTGTAAACTACCCACAAACTTAAACACGGAACCGGTTCATAAAATTCATATATTTTTAACACAACTTTATTAAAAAATCAGAACGTTTTGGTGGTGAACCAAAATCCAAAGTATTAAAAAAAGGCAACAGAAGCCTGAGAAAATACCATATAGCGCCGATGTTTTTGTTATAAATTAATAGTTTGTGTTTCAATGTCAACTTAAAAATGCATTACGCTTATTTAGGAAACAAAACAGTTATGTTAATCTGCAGTATTTCAAATTATTAGGTAGGTTGCTTGAAGTATTTTCAGCATTTCAAGTATATTCAAGTACTTGAAGTATTTTCAGTATTTCAAGTATATGCAAGTACTTGAAGTAATGTACTTGGATTATACTTCAAGTACATGAGGAAAGCACTTGAGACTTGAAGTACTTGGTACTTTACTTGAACACTATTTCATGAAGTACTTTGTACTTGGTACGTCAAGTACTTTTGTTGAGTACTTTGAACAGCTCTGTACACATCCTGACTGGTTTCGACCATAATTTCTGCTGTTTCAACTTTCGAAGTCTGAGTTTTTCGAAATTTTAGTTTGGGGACTTCAGTTTACTCCTATTTATTTTATCAATTTTTGGATTTTACAATTTCTCAATTTTTCAATTTTTTTCAGTTTTTCTCTTCAATTTTACGATTTTTAAATATTTCGACTTTTCAATTTTTGACTTTTATAAACTCTTTATTTGTCGATTTTTCAATTAATTGATT